TTAAATTTTAATTTATTTAGTTTCTTATTTTAATTTAATTATACTTACCGGTACGGTACGAAATAAATTAATTAGTTATTCTTGTATGTATGTATGTGTGTGTGTGTGTGTGTGTATATATATATATATATATATATATATATATATACTAGCTGGAGTACCCCTTCCCCTGGACAGAAGTTATGTAAGTTCATGATTAATGAAAGGTTATCTTAGGACATGAAAAGTTGCTTTCCTTGTATGTAATTGTAAAAAAAATACAGAAATGCCCATAAAAACTGCAAAACACAAAACTTAAAATGTGTATGTACCCCCGCATGGACCTAATGAACCTCCGTACGAATTTTGGTGAAGATCCATTCACACCCTGCGAAGTAGTTACATGAACATACAACAGCCAGTACTATTATATTTATATGGATACATATATATATGCACACAAACACACACACATATATATATGTATTCAGAGTAAGAATCAAATATTTTGAAAAAGAAGTACAGTCTAATCTTTTAAACATTCATAACATTTGAATCATCTCTAAAAAAATTCTTTCAAAGTCAGTATTCCTCATTAAAAATTATCTCTCTCTCTATTGGTTGTAAAAAATGCAATATAAATATCACAAAGAATTATTGACATTTTTGGAAAGACAGTATTTGACAAAGGTGTGGAATGTGTGTTTGACTTTCTGATTTATATTTCTATAAATTGATATTATTGGAAGCTATAAGTTTAAATTATGTCTCAACAACATCTATACTATAATTTGTACTAAAACTCAGAAGATGAAATAGGGTGGAAAGTATATTTAAGTGGGCAATTCAGACTGACCAAGCATCACATGATACACAAAAGTGAAGACTGAGAATTTATTTAAATATTTCCTTTTAAAATGAAGAAATTAAAACTTATGTAATATTAAAATTTGACTTATTAACTACGTTTTGATGTCAAATTTATTGCCATACATTGATAATAAAAAAGTTTAATTAAATTTTGAATGTAACTTTACTTATTTGTATCCAGAGGATTAACTACCTGTATACAAGTTTGGTCATTTTGACAACCATGGAACTATATATGTTATAACTCTGAACTTATTGTTATCTTCATGAAATTTGGCAAGCTTTCAGGAAACATTAGTAATTTGTTGCACACAAATAAATATGATTTTTTGATTAAGTATCTTTATTAAAGATTTGTATGTGAATTTATGAAGCCTTTACTGAGTCAGTTAAAGTAAAAGCTGATTTTCATTTTAAGTTTGTTTATTATTGTTAAGCACAAAATTACAGAATGGGCTATCTCTGTGTGCCCACATCAGGTACTGAAACCCAGTTTTTAGTATTATCAACCATCAGACTTACTGTTGAACCAGTGTAGGGCTGGCTTCATTTTAAGAATTAGAAATAATTTTTTCCCTCATACAGTTTTCATATTTCATTTGCATAACCTCTAGAACTGCCTACATATTGAATACTGAAAGTTTCTTTTGAGTTTAACTTTTTATTTTAGCTGTTAATTTCACTGTATATGGGCTCAGTACATTTGATCAACCACCAGGTAAAAATACAAAATAAATCTAAATTATCATCTTTTTTTTTTCTTTCTATAACAACTGCATACTGTAACAGATAATTAGTTCATTGTCCTACAATCTTCAGTCCTCCTAGACTTTTGACAATAGCTTACATTTATTAATTCTACTGCTCTTTAAACTGTGTCTAACTACTAAACTAGTACAACAGACTAATAAATCACCTAGTGAGAGCAAAGTACATGTTATGATATACAAAGCATTGAACTACATCACACACACAAGAAACATTTTTTCATTTAAGTTTTCTTATGTAACTAATTTCTAATTTTAGTTTCTAATTTTAATATTTGAGTTACTTATGTAATAATAAATAAAAAATATACATAAAAACAAATAATTTAGTACTTACATGTGGGTCTTTTACTTTTTGGTGCATTCATAGTCTCAATGAAAGTTAACTATTGTTGTTGGTACTTTACTGGATTTTCATTTATTTCAAATATTAAATTTAGAACAAAAAATAATAACATGCACAAAGAATACAACGTCCTATAACTAGTTTAATTTAACTGGCTTTTTAATTAAGTTACAAGCATTTTAAAATAATTCCATTGACTAGTTGAGGCGACTCGGCAATAACGAAGAATGAAATTGTAGGCCAAATAATTTAAAACCTATCACCAGAATGAACTAGCCTTATTAAAATTTAATGTTAAACTGAACTGTAGGCCAAATAATTTAAAACCTATCACCAGAATGAACTAGCCTTATTAAAATTTAATGTTTAAACTGAACTGTAGGCCAAATAATTTAAAACCTATCACCAGAATGAACTAGCCTTATTAAAATTTAATGTTTAAACTGAACTGTCGTCATTTTTACTACTCATCAAATCCTGAAGTATTTTCTTAGATAGACACACATACACCTTTACACTCTTTCATTCCAGAACAGAGTTTGAGACTTTAGTTTTACAGTTAAATTTAGCACTGAGGTTTTCCTCACATCTCATTGGGTTTAATTTTGAATGTAACTTTAAAAAGGTTGTGACATGTACTTTGACCTGCCTATATCTAAAGAGTTCATGTGAATGCTAAAAATATTTAAATATCAAAGACTTTTTATTAGTAAAAAGATGCTTTAATATTCTTCACAAGTTCTAATTTATTCCCCATAAGCTAAAAACTGTGGACTAAAATGAATATTTACAAAATAAAGTTCCACGTGTACACCGGCTTAAGGTATTTAATAATCTACACGACTCATTACACATATAATGTACACAACTATTCTAACAAATTAAAGTTCCACGTGTACTCCGGCTTAAGGTATTTAATAATCTACACGAGTCATTATACATATAATGTGCATAACTATTCTAACAAATTAAAGTTCCACGTGTACTCCGGCTTAAGGTATTTAATAATCTACACGACTCATTATACATATAATGTACACAACTATTCTAACAAAATGAAGTTCCATGTGTACACCGGCTTAAGGTATTTAATAATCTACACGAGTCATTATACATATAATGTACATAACTATCCTAACAAAATAAAGTTCCATGTGTACACTGGCTTAAGGTATTTAATAATCTACACGACTCATTATATATATAATGTACACAACTATTCTAACAAAATGAAGTTCCATGTGTACACCGGCTTAAGGTATTTAATAAGCTGCACGACTCATTATACATATAATGTACATATCTATTCTAACAAAATAAATTCCCACGTGTACCCCCGGCTTAAGGTATTTAATAATCTACACGACTCATACATATAATATACATAACTATTCTAAGAGTAAGGCATACTAACCACTCGAACAGACTCCACATGATGCTCTGTAATAAAACTCTTATTGAAGGACACCATGTAATCTTCTTTAAACAACTGCTGAGGCTGCAGATGAAACAAATGTTTAGTCAGACTGGTACTGAGCAACGTATATAATGATATATTTAATAAAGGAAAATACTAAAGTTCAAACTTTTATTGTAATTTTGAAAATAAAAGGAAAAAGGCTTCTGGTACATACAAACATATGGTATATCTGAGAGATATTCAGAAAACAACAGGGTTTTATTAACTCTAGGATAATCACATCACATTACTGCCAACAAATGTGCACCAATGATGGTAATAATGTGGGGAGTTTTTGAACAGTTTCCATTAAAAAATAATGTATTTCCTGTATTGATACAATGCCTTTATCATTCCTGTTCCATACAATACATATATGGTGTAATGGATCTAACTGCCTATTGCCTGGAACTGTTGTCTACAAATACACCTCTTGAGATGACAAAAAAAAAAAACAGATTATCCTTATACAGCTTTTCACCATTGTTCATTAAGAAATTGATTACAACAACAAAACCAATATCAGATGCAGTTTCTATTCTGTAATTGTGATGTATGTCACCTAATGTGGAAACACATTACATATGATGCTGCTAGTAGGGGAAGAACATTGATATATTAACTTAATTGTTAGCCATGTTTTACTTAGATTTCGTATATCATGTTTCTTCTGTAGCAATTATTGTGTGTGAACAGGAACAAATACGTCACAACCCACTCTTTAGCACTGCTATAGTACGGTAAGACTTCATACCCATCTGTTGATTTTCCTATTTCTTACAGCTATCTTTGTTTTAGACAATTCTTTCTAATCCCTTCACAGTATTGCTACCTAATAAGATTATAAAAATACTAAAATACACACACAGGGAAATACAAAGTATCTAGTAAATTTTATTTGCTTGTAACTTAAAAATTTCATCTTGTTAAAAATTTTTTTCAGTAAGACAACTTTATAAGATACACTACTTGAAATATTAGTAAATTTTGTACTAGTTCTAGTTCTCCAGACTAAAATTGTCCTACATAAAGCATCTGAGAAGGAAAAAACATACCCATTGCTTAATAAACAACACCCCAAAGAAAAATAATACAGAAAATACTTACAGACTTACAACTCACACGGTTACCTAGGCTCTGTATTGTTTTTGAAACAAGGGTTAGAGTTCTGTGTGTTTGAGGATCCTAATGCAGGAAACAAAGCACATTATAAAAATGAAAAAAATATCAAAATAAGTTGAACCCTTAAAGAGCAAATATTTTTTATGTTTGGAATATTTTTATCTAAAAAACAATCACTGTTATGATGTATAAAGGTTTTGTGCTCTCTTATCTTTTTTTCCAAAAGAAATTACTGTATAAAATGTATGCTGTATTTTTGATAAGTTCTATTAAAAAAGTTATTTTAAGCTTTCAATGAAAAACTAAATTATGTATGTAACATTATATAGTGTAATGGAAAAATCTGCTTAATTACACTTTTTTTAAAATAATTCTTAATTTGGTTTTTGGTTTGAAATTTGTGCAATGCTACACAAGGGCTATCTGTGCTAGCCATCCATAATTTAGCAGTGAAAGACTAGAGAGAAGGCAGCTAGTCATCACCAACCACTGCCAACTGTTGGGCTATTCTTTTAGCAACAAATAGTTGGATTGACCGTTACATTATAATTCTCCCACGGCTGAAAGGGCAAGCATGTTTGGTAGAATGGAGATTCGAACCCGCAACCCTCAGATTGCGAGTCGAGTGCCCTGACCATCTGGCCATGCTGATGCCTCTAAATTTGACCAAGACAAAACTCTGATATCAAATCTAGCTTCATTTAATACTCCCTTAAAAAAGCTTAGAATGCACAAATATTTCAACAGACAACACAAATCAATACATACATCACCTTTACAAAGAAATAGTATGCAACAAACTTACTATGGGGTCTGTACTTAAGTCAAACAACTTTGGACCAAGTATTGCTGGTGCAAAAAACCTGAGGAAGAGGAATCCTGAGATCACTGAGTAGCGAACTTCTCTGACACTTGGAAAACAAAGAGTAGCCGAATCTTTCAGCACAGCAAAAACTTCACACATAATTTGAGGACACACAAGTGCTGAACTGGTTATGGCACGGAATGTTCTTTGAACATAGTCTTTTAGATTGGCCTATTACAGTGGTCAAATAATAATAAATAAAATCAAACAACATGGTAGATTACTAGAATCATTACACTAACTTTAAGCTATTATAAGTTTAAAAGTTATAGTGTTTTATTCAGTATAAGTTTAATATAACTTTAAGTAATCATTTAGCAATACAATACATTTTAATGTCTTGAATTAATAAAAGTTTGGTCATTCAATTTGTACAAAAAGATCTCCTCATAAATTTACCTGCCTTTATTACTTCTCACATATTTTTTTACACAATTCAAATGTTTATATTAAATTGACCACAGTTTTGGATTTCATATTGGCTATCTGCCACCCGTTAGTTTGGGATTTATTACTTTTATATTTTCTCAGTTTATAACTATTATTGATACAGTTTCCAGTAAAACTTATTTGATAGAAGTACCATATTTGTTTCAATGTTTTCACCACAGTTTTGGATTTCATATTGGCTATCTGCCACCCGTTAGTTTGGGATTTATTACTTTTATATTTTCTCAGTTTATAACTATTATTGATACAGTTTCCAGTAAAACTTATTTGATAGAAGTACCATATTTGTTTCAATGTTTTCACCATCTCGTAATTTTGTAGGATCTATTTCACATGGTTTGTGGTCCATACAGATCTGGAAAAAAGATGATAATATTTTAATTTTTTCCTCCACAAAACCTGGTTCCATAAGCACATAAAACAAGTTTAATATCAGAAAATGAAAACCATTTCACATATTTTTAGTTATTTTTGTAATCATTCTACATCAAGATAATGCCCTAATTAACATTTAAAACAATTTTGTACTAGCAAAAACAAAAGCTAGTATAAATGAACAAGAGAATTAGTTTAAATAAAAATTTAATTCCAGTATTTAGGAGAGAATCCATATACATATTTAAGGAAAAAAAAACAAAAAAATATTTATTTTTCATTTCTGAATCATCACATTTTGAATTATGAAATTACTTGCAAAAACGGCAAAGAAAAAGTGTAAACAACCGATAAAAGGAATATGATCAGGTCTCATTTCTACACAATTGTTCTATAAGGTGTACCTACATAATGAATGGTGCTCTGGAGTGTTTCATGAAGGTAATGCATGCCTGTTAGTTTCATAAATTCATCCATGCATTTAGAGACCAGAGTGTTCCCTCGAAAAATTGTGTTTGGATCCCTGCAAACATGCAAAAAAAAAGGGGAGGATTATTATACAACAGACACTGCACAGATAAAAATAGCTAAATTCTGGAGGGTATGTTTAAGAAAGCTTGTCTAACAATATAATGGCTAAGCAAAGTAACATTTGAATATGGAAACAAACACAAGTTACATTCCAACATATTACCCAGGAGCAGTTTTGATCTAATAGTTTTCTGTTTATCAGAAACAAAATATATTAGATCAGGTATGTTTTGTATTTGAAAGTGTTTGTAAACATGGGAATAAAGAGTACATTTCTTGATTCTAGTAGTTAAATTTGGTCTCCTTGTAAAATATTTTATCCTGTAAGTACTATTTTGTACATAAATTTGTTTTTTATAGGCTTAAACAGTATTCATTCTTTTATAAAATATTTTTACTTATGGTAGGTTTGAATTTCCTGTTCACAGAATAATCATTCTTAAATTTTACACTCAAACTGAAGCACTGTACAAAGACAAACTAAAATTATATACAGCTTAACAAAAAATTTACCTTTGGAACTTAATGATATATCTGGTGAAAATGGGACTAAATATTTGGTGATAAAGTTAACACAATCTATTAACTTGACAATGCTCACAATTAAACTTTTGTGTATAAACTGGATATAAGCAACATATTAATTAAAATAAATCATTCTCATTTATTTATTTGTAGAACACTTGTCTAAAGCTAGTGGTATTAAACAAGTTTTTTTGTGAGCATACTCAACTAAAGATGTTCTGTGTTTTCAAAAATGACACATAATTCAATATTCTTTTTAAATTGTATATTAACCAACATATAAATCTGCTAGAAAGTTTCTATTCCTGCCCTGACTTCCACATCTTGCTAGTAGAAACCTCTTACGAAACAGTTTGTAAAATAAAAGTTTAATTACAGTATACTTGTGTATGAATTGTAATAACTTAAAACACACACTTACTTAACATTTGAAATCTCCCAATCTGCCAATTCCTTTATGAAGGCCACTATTTCTCCATGATGCATAAATATTTTGACCAAGGGTTGTGCAGCATCTATCTTGTTGGTAACAATCTCACCTAGTACATAAGCAGTGCTTGAAGTAATTGGCTAAAGAAGAAAAAATATGTTTAATACAAAATATATTTACAAATTAAACATACTGTGTCTACTTAAATGTATGTATTCCTCATGAAGATTTTTCCTCTTATGTTTTAAGAAATATTTCTTTTTTATCCAGCTTTCTTGGGTCCTTTTTCAACAATGAACAAAAAACAACAAAAACACACACACACACAGTGGGAATCTCAAAAAGATTACTTAACAAAGGCTGATGAATAGACACATATGTGTTTCAATTAAATCAAGAAAACAAATGGCTTTCAAAATTGATACAAGAAAACAAATGGCTTTCAAAATTGATACAACAAAACTATTCAGGTTGTTACAAGTATATAACACAAACTCCAAATCAATACAGTATATTTCCTATAAGAAAAATATCTCACAATATAGTACAGCAATTGCATTTTATGGGACACCCTAGTCAGTTGTTTAGCTCTATTTTTAAAAGCATGTAATAAAAACATGTATGTATCAAAGTTAAATGTGGAAGAAAAACATACATGTATCTACAGCTTTCATTATGTTAAAAGTAAAGTTCTTGCACATTAAATGCTTCTGAAAATTATATTAGTTCACAAAGCCTTTTAGAAACAACACCTGGTTCTCAAGATCAAACATTATCAAACAACCTAAATTTTACAATTTTTAGCAATATCAGCCCAGTAATCTCACAATCTCACTATGTCAACAGTGAACATTTTCAATTAAAGGAATTTATATATAAACTCTTAATATTAAGATTTGAAAATAAACTAACAGGTTTATTAACCAATCACAATCTGACATTCCTTAGCATCAATCAAGCAAGGTTCATGAATAAAGAGATAGCTTAAAACTGAAATACTCAACTCGTCAACATATGCTTTGATACCTAACATGATTAAGCATGTTTGAATTTTAATCTTAAATATCAGAAGATTGAACACAAGAATTATTTTATTGTGGCTGAAAGGTTGATGTTTTAATTGCAAAAGAGCAACTGAGGCTAGCTTTGGCACTTGTAATTTCCCAAACAAAAATTACATCATACATTATTTCTAGTTCTCACCTTCACCTTGGAAGAACTAAGCAGAAGATTCCTTAATGGATCATAAAACTGACTAGAAAATACATGGTCAGAAACATAGTAAATTTTAAGTCTAAGTGAACCAAGTTCAATTTTCTGTTGAGGATGATGGTCTCGTGGTTTGAGGAAATACCTTTTAAAGAAATAAAAAACAAACTAAAAAAATCTTCAAATTAACTTAAACTTTGACCAAGACGATTAATAATCTAGCATAAAAAACAAGAATACTGAGCATCATACAAAACTCTAACAATAAGTAAAGTTTACTTAAAATAAACATGTTTACTTTTCCAAGATTTTGAAATAAAAATCGTCATAGTTTTTCTTCCCTATCAATTATAATTGGATATACTACACCCAATACCTTAAGATAAGAAAGAATAATATAAAATGTATTATTTTTTTTTTATCATATGATCTCAAGAATACTACTAACAAAACAACACTAAAACAATGATTATCATGCCAAATGAAATTGTCTAAAAGTAACAATGTGATTTAACCAAAGTTATAACTTTTCAGAAACCATACTTTCTTCACATACATTGTTTACGATACCCAGAAAAAGTCCTCCAACTTTCAATAATAAAAGATGAGATGAAATACAACTAAATCATACTCATTAACCTTTTATTAACACTTCACTTCATTTACATTACAAATTATTTTATACTATTAATTGAAACATTTATTCAACAGCTTGACAAAGAATTAAAAGTATGAATGTAACAATGCTTTTTAAGTTTATTAAGAAGCTCATAACACATTGTATGCTGTATCTTTACAAAATTGAGAAAACAGAGTTGAACCAAAATCCTTCAAAAGTCACACACTATTCTCAATAATATAATATGTTCATTGATAATATAACTAAAGAAGTTGATGTTCCTATTTAGACAGAGACGAGGATTGTAATGTCCTTAGATAAAACAAATAAATAAACATTACCATGCTTGATTATATGCATACAATGATAATTAGGACATTTTGTTATTGTTGTAACACAAAAACTTATCCTAAATGTCTTATGCATAATAACTTTAACAATAAAATGTTCAAGAATCAGCATATAACCAACCAGAGGGGAAAATTATTGTAAATTGAAAAAAATGTAATGTTTAAACTGGACTGTCGTCATTTTTACTACTCATCAAATCCTGAAGTATTTTCTTAGACAGACACACATACACCTTTACACTCTTTCATTCCAGAACAGAGTTTGAGACTTTAGTTTTACAGTTAAATTTAGCACTCAGGTTTTCCTCACATCTCATTGGGTTTAACTGTGAAATGTATATAAGCAAATTACTTTAATTTAGTAAAAACTGACTTACCAAGCATTATGACCTTTAATAATGTCAAGGCCATGAAGAGGAATTTTAACTTCACCTAGAAACACACTTCCAAACAGCCCACTGGAATCGTGCATTACTGAAACTCTGGAACCAAGAAATATAGGAAATATATACACTACAAACAGTGAACTAGTACTTTAAACTTGATGATAATGACCTAATCTTCTAGAACCAAGTATGCATGTGATTGTTTAATGTATATTGGGGGGAAGCATATAAAAAAATTATTGCACCACAGAAATATCATCATATATTTATTAATAGAAACTTATGACTCAATTACCAATTTTAATACAGAATCAGTCTGTGAATTTATACTAGTCATTCTTCCCCTGACACTCAGTGACTGAACAGGTATTAAATGAAATTTTTACTGATAATGAATTATCTTCAAAACAAATACAGGAGTCTCATTTGGACTTTCTCTACTTAACACATGTAGTACATTCAGAGTTTTAAAACAATGAATCACTAAAAAGAAAATAAACTAAAAAACATAATAGGTTTTACTTCACAAAAAAGCTACAAATATGAAATAATAACAACAGGCTTTTATTCCATTTCCATATCAGCATTCCTGCTCAAATCCACAACCTTATAATAAAAAATTAATGGGCACAGAAAGCTATGATATAAATTCATTAAAGGCCAAAGATATTGTAAGTAAATATGTAAATGATATATATATAAACAAACCCACAACATAGTTGGGGGTGGGTGTAAAGCTGAAACAAAATACATAAACATTTTTTTGAAACTAATTATATATAAAATTCAAACAAGTACTTGAACTCCAGTAAATCAACAGTGTGTTCAACTTTTGACTTAGAATTCTCTAATTGCTTTAGTTTCACCATGCATAAACTCTGTTAGGGTGTTTATGGTACCTAATTTCAACATTCAAAAACTGTTAGGGTGTTTATGGTACCTAATTTCAACATTCAAAAACTCTGTTAGGGTGTTTATGGTACCTAATTTCAACATGCAAAAACTCTGTTAGGGTGTTTATGGTACCTAATTTCAACATGCAAAAACTCTGTTAGGGTGTTTATGGTACCTAATTTTAGTGATTGAGGGATTCTAAATGTCACATTTTCAACTAGTTGAAAAGGAGTCTGCTTAAAATTATATTGGTAGCAGGGTTTATAAGAAATACTGAAATCTACAAAACATACTTTATAATTGGTAGGCATAAACATGGCAAAACTCTTTACAAGTTTATTTAAACTGACAATATCTTTCCTTATGTAATAGTTAGTAACAGAATATAAACAAGTTGGTACTGTATTAATTTAAATTCACAAATACTGAAATATGGGTAAGTTATTTCATTTTCCGAAAATTCTTTCAAACCAACCATGAAATATATTGTTTGAAGTATTTTGCTGACCTACAAATAGTTTTTTAACCCTATCTGTATGGGTCTTCCTATGGTCATGGGTCAAAAGCCATGTCTGTAGACTCGCATTCAAAATTTTATCGAACTACTATTTTATGAATACATGTCAACAAGTTTGGTATCAAATTGTAGATTATAATTCAAATTTTAGTATGATCTATAAGTTAATTTCTTAATTTAAAAGTAAATATAAAAAATAAAAATCCTAAATATTGATTTTTGTGTGTCACGTGGTATGTTAAATGCAGCATTAGTTCAAATTAGATACTCGTGATGTCCAAATACAAAATCTATAGTTTTTTATAAATTAGGAACTCAAATTATCAACATTGATAAGCTAGAATCTAAAATAAGAACCTCCTATCTCTTCTATTTGCCGAGATTTCTCTACATTTATCGAAACAAACACAGTGGCCCCACCCACCTCTATACATATTTGAAAACACTTCCTTATGTACACCTATATCTGTCTATGACATGTGATTAACCAATTGAAAGCTCAAAATATCCCCCTAGTGGCTTTCTCAGCCATTTTAAAGTATTAGGTTGTCAATCTGGTTCTTTTGATACACAATTTCAAGCTGGTAAAGTAAATCTTTAGTCAACTCAAAATTTCATATTTTTTTTAGATCCAAATACAGCTTAGTTACTAAGCATGATAAGTTATAGTGGAATTCTATGGTGTTGATATAGTAATTTATGATTTTTGGTAATGTCAAAATATATATATAAAACCTAAAAAAAATTTTTTTGTTTCATATCCTTCACATGTGAAATTGATGTTTAGTGTTTTTTAACAAAGTTTAAACTTTCAATTCCTAGATAAACATATGAAAATTATGCTATGTCAGATAGAATATTAAATTCACATATTTTGAAAATTATCAAAATTGGACTGAACGTCAAGCCGAGTTATCATTTTATTTAGTATGATTCATGCCAATGATCTGACCTTCAGGCTTACTTACCACTGGTACAAGTTTGTTAAGACACGTGAAGTTCCTCAAAATTGTTCCTATAATGTCATGGTTATCGGCAATATAAACTGAATGACAGACGGCATTAAAAACGAGACCAGATCAAATACAGTTGAACATTAAATAAAACACTGTGAATTAACAGCAATTATATTATAGTACAAGTCCTAAGTTGTAACATGTTTTGTTTACTTTATTATACTGTTCATAAAGTTAATATAATTGTGTAACAAGGATACCAGAAGAGCTAGGCGATTAGTAGTGTTTTCTAACTGATTAATCAAAGGACACTTGAATCCTTAGATTTGGCTCACTGATTAATACAATGTTTCTCAAAACATGGTATGTACAAGTCAAAAAAAAAAAAAATGGTGGCAGTTACTGCCAGCAAACTATCTTCCCCCTAGTCAGAATCTCAAAACAAAACAAGAGGAATCTTCAATAGCCATGGCACTTGAAATTCTTTAGACAGGATTAGAATAAATTAATCTGAGATTTTTTCCTTTTTATTAGCTATATTTTTGTGTGACAGCAATACCAAGCATGGGGCTTGCATATCCCCAATTCACTTTTATTACCCATCAAGATCTCAACCAGCCTACTCTTAAATTGAAATTCTTTTATGCAGGATTAGAGTAAATTAATCCACAAGACCTTGGACATGGTCAAATACATCAATCAAAAGGGTTTGGCCTCCTGAGTCCAAAACTGTAATTAGATCTCATATTGGTTTAGAGATGATGGAACTATGAGCTAAAAGTTGGCAGTGGGTGCTGCCAGCCAGTTGCCTTCCCTCTTGTCAGCAGCTCAAAATTAATGACAGTGGCAGATAGTCTGAGTAGTTTTTTCATAACAAAGACAGGACAAGCAAATTGAACCAAAGACCCTTGAATTGCGGGCCCTCAAATCATCAAATTTGAACAAACTTGAAGTAAAAAAACAAACAAATAAACTTGTTAGGCCAAAATTTGGCAGAGCACAGATAGGTCATTATGTAGCTTTGTTACTTTTAACAACAAACAAACATAATAGCAATATTTCAATTATTTGGATATTTGGAATAATCAAAAACAGTAATAACCAGAAACCTTAACTACTTACTTATTTTGTAAAAATTGATTTAATTATCATTTTGATCAATCAATTAGTTTATGAAACAAATCAATGTAATTGCTGCTCATAGATAATTGACTATATCAATTAAATTGACAACTGTAGACACCATAAAATGCACAGTAGCTTCTTAATACATTTTAAGTCATTAATTTATGGCTACATAAGAATATGCAGATCATTGGTAATTGATCATATTGAAAGCAAGATATAACAGTGTAAGTAAATAAAAAAACTGTATGCCGAGTGCAAAATAATCATGCCCTCTAATTTTTACATGTGAATGGGGTGTATTTAGTTTGCAATTGTGCTGTGATCAACTAAGCTTGAACATAACACATAATTTGTCATTTCTTGCTGATAAACTCAGTCTTAACTTCTTTATTGGTTTTATTCTTTGTGATAAAATTGTTGTACTGAGTTTACTAATAACAAAAATAGTAGTCTTATAATTAAGAGGAAACCAGACCTATCACAAAATACATACAAAAAAACACACACACAGATAACTATATGTAAAGGAACTCCACAGATATACTGTAACAGGTCAAAATCAAAAGACTTTGCACGTAAAAGAAAAACAGAAAACTAAAGCATAAACTAAAATGTTGGAAGGATAAAGGTGCTTTAGTAATAAAAGTAACTATTGAATTAAGACCCGCAGAGTAGTAGGGATACACCATCTATCATACTTAATCTTTATTAAAAAAATTCACATGAGAAAAGACAATAATAAATATGGCAGGAATGGATGTTAATCAGTTTTTTGACAATTCTGCATTGCATAATGATGCTTCACGTGTCCAGCTTTCAATCCTGAAGTTCCTATTATTTGTGATACTCCTTCTTGTAAGTCAAACAATTTTACTCATGTTCTGAGCTGTAATTGTTGTAACTTACAACATGGAGGACAAATTACTAATTCTTTACATTTAAGAATTAATTTGCATAGATTACAGAATAAGCACAATGTTGTGAAACCTACTAAATTAGAACAATTTCATATACACCCACGTCTTTCTATCGTTGTATTAGAAACTGTAAAAAAAGTAGGCTTATTTACTTCAATGCAAAGATTATATTATAGACTGAAAAACATTTATTTTCATATGGTCTAAGTAACAATTTTCCTAACATTAATGCTGTTTCTTTAAGCAGCAAGTTTTTTAATTGTTAAGTCTTTTACAAAAATTACTTTAAAACAACTAGGTAAAAGTACGAAGATTAATACCATGTTAGAATATTTGAATGGTTCACAAAGTTATGAAACTGCTGCCCTCCCTATTTTTTTTGCTTGTACAGGTGTGTGTGTATGTGGAATTTACTGATTATAAGTCCATCAATTAATGTATTAGCAAACACCATTAATCAGCCAGCTCTATTGGTAATGCTATTCATGTATATGAAATATGAATTATATAGTAAAAAGTGTTACATACCACAAACATTCTAATTTGTACTAACTTATTAAAGAAATCAGTAGCTTCATAAAATTTGGGATAATTGTTATCTACTTCATCTCCAGCCAGAAGAATAGCCAGGCAACACAACAGGCCAAAAAGAAAGATGAAATACTGATTGGTTGTATTTTACATGTATATATATGGATAGTAACAGAAATGTATAAACATTTTATCAATAAATTACAACTATATTTAACATTCAGTAAATGATTTAGCTTGGTTATCACAATACATATAAGTGTAGTTTTAATATGATACTTGTATTTTCATTGTTAAGTAATGTTTGCACACTACAAATAAACAAAAATAACTTCTGATCTACCAACTTAGTAAATGCTGCACATGGATCAAGGGTTATTTGTGCAATTGTCTTCCATATGTCATGTTCCAAAACAATAAAAATTCATTTCTAGATCTTTTAAGTTTTTATTTCAAGTCTATATAAATCATTACTGTAAACTTTTATTCATCAAAGTTTGAAACATAATTTTATTTCTTAATTCTAGTGAAACTTAATGAAATGCTAAGTTTTCTCTATATAAGCACTGGAAGCTCAAAATAATCCAGTATTATTAAGTATTATAATTAAGTATGTTATAAAAATCCATTTCACACTTATTATAAATGTGAAGATAATTATTAGCCACCACCGATGATTGAAAAAATATAAATAAAATTATTATTCAATCTTAATTTTTATTGTCCACTATTACCAATGTCACATTATTATTCACTTAATAACCTTAAAATTATAAAGCTCAACTTACCTTAATTCTACACTACCAATATCTTCTTCCAAAATTTTAAAAACATCTTTTTCCTGGTTATGACTCTTTGATGGAATCTACACATGACCAATAGCAAAGGAAAACAATAATTATTATAAAAACTTTGCAAGATATCACTGTTTAGCAATTATTTACTCAGAACTGCAATAGATATGTGTAACTGAAGTATACTTATCCGAAACATCTTCTCAAGCATATAAGAAAAAACATTTTAATTTGTTTTAATAACAAAACTTCTCTTTAAATCTATATTCATATGTAAGAATTGCAATGTTTACCTAAATCAAAAAATATTTTACTATAATTGTATCGGTATGTCTAATTTTACAAGAGTTTGATTTTTCTAAATGGTTAAAATATTTGATGCAGTAGTAAGAAAATATTTTATTAAAAAAAGATTATTACACTATCAAACAATACAAGATGAAACACTATCTTGTATTTGGTTGTATTTCGATTCATTAAAAAAAAAAATCTTTCAAATTTTAGCAAATTTACACGCAAAAAATGATGACCAATTAGCACTGAATTTTGATTAAATTCTTTAATCAAAGCTAAAACAGTTCATACATTATTCAAAAATAAATTTTCTATTTAGATAAATCATTCTGTTCTTGTAGAACAAATGATTCATTATAAACAAAGAAAATATTTCAGTTCATGTAATTCATTTTGTAGTACTTACATCAAAATAAAAAACTTCATCAAACTGTGGACAGATTGTTTTCTTGCGAACTTTTGTCCTTTTAGTTTCTTGTTTACTAGAACTGTAAAAAATACTGACAGCAGCATATGGGTCACAGGCACCATTGATTATGGTAAGATCATTGCATTCAATAACACTGTAAGTGTAATAAAAGTTTTTGTTGATGAAAAAATTATATACTAATATGGTTTTAAAAAAGTTTAATTGAACTATAATAATTTATGCATGTTAATTAGTGCAAATAATTTGAAACAAATGCTTGTTTTTTCATATTTACAATAACAATAGAAACTTTCCATTTTGTTAAAACTAACAAGCCATTCATTAAAAAAGTCCATGAAAAAAAAAAAGGGAAATGATTAGATTTGTTTAAATTTACGCAAAATATTTATCTGCATTCAATGCTGTGGATATAAAAAATATTATGTTGAATGTAAAATGAGCTATAAATATAGCTTGTTTTATAATATTTTTCAAAAGATAAAATAACAAATAATATTTATTAAATATGATGTATATTAAAGAAAATAATAAAACGAAGATCACCATTTTTTACTTGCACAAACATTTATCTGTGTGTACAATGGAAGATGAAAAAGAAGACAAATTGACAAGTTTACATAGAAGACAACTTAATCAACTAAATATTTTAATGAAATGCAAGAAGAACTGTGTTGTATCAAATAGTATTAAAGTTAAATGTAACTTAAAAAGCAATAAGGTAACATTATTATAAAACGAACTCAAGTTAAAATCTCAGAAGTATTATCAAATAAATGAGGAGTGAAATTGCAAAAACCGAAGTCAAATCATACTATGTGCATCTAAAATTAGCTAGAAATATACAGTGTTTGGTATGGGATAAGTTTGAAGCATCTAGTTGGTGGAAGTGGGAAAAAGTAAAATTGAAACATAAGAATAATTTGAGTAAGAAATTGATTAACTTAATTAAGAATAATAAAATTGAAAAACGAATTTAAAAATGAGTAATGTGGTACAAAATGAGAAGTACACTAAACTGTTAAACAACCCAAAAATAATAAATATGTCGTAGGAAAATATTGCAACAGAACAAATTAAAATTCTTGAGCTAGGTTTGAATTTTTCGGTAGATAACAGTAGGTCAGTGAAAGATGATTTAATAGTGGCTGTAGAAACTAGTTTAAAAAACTGAAAGTTAATGATAATATTGTAAAGGATATTGTTAGAACATCAGTGGCAAAAATTCTAACTTCAGATACTAGGAAAACTAATAGAAACTTGTATAATCATGAAGTTAATGAACTTCGCACTATTACAGATGATATGAACATTGTTATTTCTAAAGCAGATAAAGGTGGACAGATTGTCATATTAGATAAAAATGTGTAAAATGATAACATTAAACAACTTTTAAATGACGTTTCTTATATTAAAATCAAGAAAGATCCAACGAATATAATATGTAATAAAGAAAAAACTGTTGTAAAAACCTGCAGCATTTTAACAGTCAATGAACAAAGAAATCTTGTACTGTCTCAGTTTAATTTACCTAGGTTTTATGCACTCCCTAAGGTACATAAAATCGGGGTACTGTTCTGCCCTATTGTGGATAACAGAGGGTCGTCAACACATTTGGTGGCTAAGTTTATTGTTAAAAAGTGTTTGTTTTTAACAAATTCGCATACATACTCAGTTAAAAATTCATCGAAATTTGTAAAAAAGATTAAGAATATGGACATAGTAGAAATTGATAGACTAGTTTCTTTTGATGTAGTACAATTATTTACAAATGTACCTGTAGAAGAAGCATTAAGTTGTTTTGAAAATAGATTACTAGCTAGTAAGAGAAGTACATAATATCATGAATTTAACAAGATTGTGTGTAACAAATAGTTATTGTAAGGTGGAAAATAATATTTACAAACAGAATAAAGGTTTGTCTATGGGGTCATCCCTATCACCATTGTGTGCTAAAAACAGCACTGATAAAACCCGATGTGTGGATAAGGTACGTGGATGACACGTTTCTGGTGTGCCGACATGGTAATGACACGTTAATTGAGTTCCAGAAGCATCTGAATTTGATCAGACCTAATATACAATTCACTTTAGAAGTTGAAGATGATGGTTGTTTAAATTTTTTAGATGTTTCTGTAAAAAGAGAGAAGGGGTTTCTGTCTACTTCTGTATACAGGAAACAGTTCTCAGTTGCCATGCTGCTGCATGTGAGATTGTGTCATCCATGGTCACAAAAAATGTCCTCATTTTCATCTTTTATTTATAGGGCTATCAATATTTCATCATATGATGAAGATTTGATGTTAGAATTAATGTATTTAAAATAGGTAGCGATTGATAGTGAGTATCAACCTCAAATCGTAGATAGGATGTACAGTAAATATTATAACAAACTTCAAATTTCTGGATGTACGAAACTGGAAATAATAAAAAAGGAAAATATAGAAAGAATATGTTTGCCTCATGTTTTGCCATGGTCAATAAAAATAGGTAATGTGTTTAGGCAAAACTTGGATTGCCAAGTAACATTTACTCCTCAATTAAAATTAAGTCATATAATTAATGGTTTGAAAGATAAAATTGAATTGAGGGATAAATATGATATGTACAAACTTTCATGTACTTGTGGTCTAAGTTACATTAGACAGAGAAGTAGGAACCTAAAATTCAAAGTAAAAGAACATCAAAATGCTGTTGATAAATTAAAAATGGGTGAATCGGCTTTGGTGGAACATGTGGCAAATTTTAAACATATTATTTATTGGGATAATGTAAAAATTCTTATACAGTTAATGGATAAAGATGAATTAAATATAAGAGAATCTTTAGAAATAGTTAAAAACAAAATAAATTTAAATAGAGATTTCGGACCAGGAGCCACCTAAATAAATTTTTGAAAATTATTGTTGTAAATGGCACCATTGTACTTGTATGATAATTATACATGTACCTTTGGTTTATAAGCAGTTATGTGTACTTCTTGATGGATTCTCCTGAAGATGATGTAATTATTTACACCGAAACATGTTTAGTTTTATGGTTTTTTTTAACTTGTATATTTCTTATTTTTTAACTTTACAAATAAATGTTTGTGCAAGTAAAAATGCTGATCTTCATTTTATTATTTTGTTTAACATCTTTGCACAAGAACTGTCAGTTTTTACGTATTATGATGTATATTTAAACTTTAAACATATATAACAAATACACTTTATTTAATTTACTTACTGTTAAAAAAGTAAAATGAGAATGAAATACTTTAAGAACATATTGCACTTTAATTTCAGTGTTAATTTTCTAGGAATTTTTGTGAGTCTGAAAAGTTATTATTTTTTAGGAGCTGCTTTCAAAAGCTGAACTCACTTTTACACAAAACTATTATTTTTAAAATTATACTATGATACTCATAGAAACAGAAATTATGGCAACTGGAAACATTTGAGATGTTAACCTTGCTCATCTACAGACTGGGAGTGAAAGTCGATGAAGCAATTGAGGCTTTAAAGATCGATAACAGGACACCAATCTCCTGTTTTCTTTGGGACAACGAACAGATGGGAATAAAAGCCTGGAGAGAGAAGAAAAACCTGTTCAAAAGTGTCTTTCTGCAAGAGATCCAAAACTGTGTCTGGCAACAAACTGGATCCTGAAAGAAACTGGCACTGAAGACAAAGTAGGAGGGGAGGAAAACAAAGACCCAGTCTCTCTGACAACACTTAAAGGACCCAACAACTGGCTGCAAGTGGTTGACAAAGGTGAGCAAACAGGGCCAACTGTGCCAGAACCAAAGAGATGGTCACCATCAATTCTGACAGTGCTGAAAGTGACGGTGAAAGTACTGATGGATTGGAGCAGAAACATGAAACGGGGGGAATAGGAAGAAGAGAGGAAGCTGGAGGGCAAAAAACAGTAAAATGGAACATGAGAGGACACCCCCAAACAATAAACTAACAAAAGAAATCCAGAAGATGATCTCATAAATACAAAGCAGGCAAATGTGCTTGAGAAAGTAGGGTGTCCCTGCTTAATAAATCCCAACAATGCAATCACATATGGAGAGACAAAGCAGACGAAGCTTGATGTGCTAATGCAGAAAAAACAGGGAAATGAGTATCCAACGAAAATATTTCAGGGGAATGGTGGATAAAGGAGAGATAATAATGTAGAATAGTAAGAGTGAGCCAAAGACAATAGAATTGGGTAGGGGAAAGGCAAAGAGATGAGAAGGGATTGGATCCCCAAGAGACTGCAAAATCTGAGTCTAGAAAGTGAAATTTGGTCCAGCATGAAGGTGAGAGAGAAACTGATCTACAAGGACCGGAATATCTGAAGAAAGGGGAAAAACAAAATAATCAGAAGTTGGGCCAGAAAGGAGCAGGGAAGGGGAAGAACCATAAGACACACGAGAAAGGGACAAAAGGTAACAAATCTGAGAAACCATATTCAAGAAGGATGAGGTATATCAGTGGAGTAAACGAGCTGTCAAAATTGTCGTCCTCTTGAATAGGGTCCTCAGGGAAAGGAATATCTGTCTCCAGGTCGGAAGATGAACATGTAAGGCTCCAACTCCCAGCACAAAATGGGTGACACCTCCTCGACAGACAACGAGAAGCCGATGCCAGAGTAGCAATCTGTCTAGCAGGACAAAAATCTTGTGGATCCATGCCAAACGAAGTTGTAGTAACAAGAACTTGAGAGTTCATATTGTGGAAAAGAAGGGAAAAAATAAACAAAACCCTTTCACAAAGTAAGTAAAGACAACAGAAAAAAATGTTATCAAAAAATAAAGTATTAATCTCTGGCACGAGCAAAAATGTGACACGTCTACACATACAAGTGCCAGATCAAGAAGTGATGATTGAGCAATCAGTATTGAGGGAGTCAGCTGCACTAGAAGGGTGTGTCACACTCTAATTAGCACAGAAATACCACATGGAAACACGCGAGTTCAGGTAGGAGTCTCAGGGCTAGTGATGAACAAAAAATTGAGGAAAGCTAATATATGAGGAAAGGTAAGGTATCATATGGGAAATACAAATATCAGAAAATTCACAATACTTTATGAACCTTAAACATTTTATATCAATAACATAATTAACCCTTTTGCGATGAGTGAGTCTTAACTGCGCACATCATGGTCTTTTAGTGAGTTACTTTCAAAATTTAATTAAACTACTTTTTATTTATGTTATACCAATTAGTATAGCATAAGATTGTAGCTAATAATCCATATTTTAATAGTACATACGTTTTAAGTTCTAAATTTCACAAGGCAATATTTTAAAAAATCCTGAATTGTTAGGAATGTGACATTTTCTTCAGGCATCCCCTCTTCCCTATTTTATTCACCACCCCTCCAGTAAATACAAACTTTAATTTCAATTACTTACTATAATTTTCTTTGGTTACAGAGTCATCAAATAGAAAATCAGACCCCTCTTGCCACACCCACCTATCACATCCTCTCATAGTTCTCTCTTACGTTTATTTCTATATTATGTATACAAATAGAAAGCCAAGGTTTTCATCTATCAAATGAAATATTATATTATGTTGTTTTCTGAACAGAGAATTTTCATTTTTTAGTTAGTATAAGCTTTGTTCTCATGAGAAATATAACCAGCTTGGATGAATTTGTAATGGTTTCTGTCACCTAGTTAGAAAGCCAGAAAAATTGTGATAGATAAAAGAAATTGTCTGCTTTTTGCATGTTACTATTCTATGTTCTTTGGTGCATTATTTAATCAAATAACTATTTAGTGCATTATTACCATTAGTATAAAAAAATATATGGTTAAGTGTTATTGACAGTCAGCAGCAAAAAAAAAGACTCAGGTAAGTACTTTATTTCTTGTTTTTCATGTTTATTCTTTATTTATTATTATCAAAGTAACTAAAATGTAAAATTAAGGATTAGGTTAGTTAAGATTAGATAAGGCAAAATAAATAATAATAATATAATAAAAATGTTTCTTGAGGCATGCATGCGAGCAGCTAGAACTTGAGTAGCTCGTGGGTAATGTAATTCGATAGCATAATGTGAGCTATACACTCCCCAAGTGATTTACAACTTATAATGGCATGAATAGTAGTGGTTAGTTGTTCAAAGGGCAATCACAGAGCAATAAAACAATAATATTTAAGTATAAATAGATGTATACTGTGAGTTTAAAGCTACTTAGGATAAATGAATATAGTTTCATTCTACAATTTGAAGTCATTCTTGTAAGAAAAAAAGGGTAACTTAGAATTATTTCAATTTTGTTTTTTGGTAGTTATGAGGTCAGTCAAATTTACCGACCCCGTATACAGTTAAGGTAGAGAATATAACAGATAAAATATTAAGTTTTACTGAACAAAAATGTTTGAAATGTATTTAGGAGGTTTTATAGATTACACAAATGATATGCAAGATTTTTGGGACGAAGCATAGTTTTTAATCATAACATGAAAATCACTTCGCAACTGAACTAGTAATGAAACATACTCGATATATTCACAAACAAATCTTTTGTAAAATTGCTTCATTAAAAAATCTAATTTTTTGTGTACAAAAGACTTGCAATGTTTACTAAAAGTCTACCAAATTTTGTGAAGATACACAACTGCATTAAAAGTTATAGTATAAATACTTAACATGTGCAAATGTGTACATGAACTTGTGTAATTTATACTGAGCCCATCGCAAAGGGGTTAAAAAATAAGATTTTTTTAAGAACTGAAAAAAAACTGCACAGCTTTATATACGGTTTATAGTAATAAAGTCTGAATACTAATCAAAAATTTTAATTTTAGAAAATAAGCTATAACTTGAAAACATTAATTAATTTTAACACTTTTTTTATATAAACATAAAATTCTAAACATAACATCCTTGAAAAATAAAATCTCATTTTAAGTCTCAAATTCACATACATGATTAAAAAAATGCAAATTCAATAATTACAACCCATCAAATCTAGACAAAATTAGCTATTATTTAACTGTAAACTGTGAGAGAATAATCTCATGTTTTACACACTTTAAAATAAGCAGTTTGAATGATTAATTAAAATCTAATCTATGAATAACTTATTAACTTTTGTAATTTTGAACAATTACAAAAAAAAAGATATTTAATGATACACATTCTTATCTGAATACTTACCGGACATATAACCTGTGAGAAAATGACCCACTTCCTGATGATTTCATAAACTGGTTAAGTTTAACATGGATGTGAACCTTGCCCTAAATATAAACATGTTAATGAACACCAAATTCTTTTTTCAGTTTTATTTCAGTTCTAAAACACTTTTTCAGTCACTATCAATATCCATGAAGCATAGATCAGACTATATTTACAATTTGAAAAAGCTTGCTTGGATTGGTCAGTAATATGAATGTCCATACCAATGTCAGTTAGCCAGTGTTTTTTCTTTGTCTTACCAAGTATAAACAGCATTTTACAATGATTGTGTTCAACACTAGATCAAAGCTATTGAGCATTATTTAGTTGCTATGTGGCCATTCCAGTGATAGTTTTGAATAGACTGCTTCTGACTACTGGCAGTCCTAACAGCTTTTGCTGTAGGTCTGTGACTTGTGTTTAAGGAAATGGTATATGGTGGCCACAAGAAAAAATTGCTAGTGGTGAGTGAATTTCATCCGACAACAGTTTTTTAGAATTTTGGTTACTGACATAACATACAGAACTCCCCTGAAAACCATGACTAACTCTAACAGCACTTGTAATTTAATGCCAAAAACAAGTTATTAATGATTTTATTACCAATATTTTTGAAGTAACATAGATACTTTTTATTCTAATTAAAAACTAAACTGCTGAAAGTATAAAAAAAATTTGAATTATTTAACGGTTAATCATACCACTACATTGCACTTCAGAGTTCAAGGTTAAAAAAAGGTAATTTATTGATTGTAAATAATTATTTGAGTATAATATTTTTTAAACTAAAAGTACATTTTTAATATTCTATTTAAGTAATAATTCCGTTTAAAAACTTAGAATAATGCTACCTGAATTACAAAACATGTAAATTTTAATCAAATAATGGGCTAATTACTAGGTAGCATACCCACAATGACATATTTTCCAGAGAAAGCACAAGCACATGGTTAAATGAAAATAAAATAAAAACTACCTGTACTTCGGAATCTGCATCAACTGGAAGTAATGGAAACCAATGATCTTTCCCATGATATTTGTGGAGTTCTTCTCGCTTGATTGCAACTTTACCAAGAACTTTTTCTTTACATGTATTTACAACTCGTTCTTTATCACAAAGGTAGATTGAAAGAAAGCGGAATTTTCTGGGAATCTCACATTCATATTCTTCCCCAAAAAAAGGTCTATAAGTAAATATGTGTTATCCACAATTAATTTCAAAAATTACTGCTTAAAAAAAAATCTATTGAATTATTTTTTATGGCTGATGTAGACAGTGGTTTTCAGCTTAATATAGTGTTTTATAATATTTCAACTTGTTGAGACATTTCAATTTGCTTCTGCTTGAAAAACTACTGAAGAGAAGCACAAGCAAACTGAAAAGTTATCAAGCCCTAACAGATAAGCATCTGAAGTTCATAAATTCATATGGAACAAAAACTTTTAATGTTTCTATCCAAAGATATTAAAACAGGATCCAAACACTAATGGTGCTAATTAACATGATTTAAAATTGGAAAATTGTGATTTATCTTTCTGCAAATAGATTTGTCTGTTTTAAGTACTACAAATATTATCCACCTTAACACATAAAATTTCACGTGAATTTCAATTTCTAAATATTTCAAACAAATAAGATAACACCTACTCTAAGGTTTTCTCTACAGTAGCAGTACGAAAAATTTCTTCTTGGTCTAGACTGATTCTACAGTAGATATCTCTCCAGCCAACTGAGCCATGACTACGAGGAGGGAGATTTTTTGCCTGGCCTGTATAATAATAAAGCAAATCATAAGATATCAGTTATAAGAATTTATTTGTGCACTGTAAATACTGCTTGAGGAAACATTTTTCTTTCAGTGCAAAGTCATTCTGGTGTTTATTTAATAAACAAAATTCTGCTGTTTCTTCATTCAAATTTTAAGCATGCAACTAGAGCTGATTATTTCACACAAAGAAATATACATATACACATGGTAACTCTACTGATCAAACATCACAAACACAGCTCAAAACAAATTATAAATCTTGTCTTAGAATAATTAACTATAAAAAGATGTTTCAAAACATTTCTTAAGCAATAACATACAAGTATATCAAGATTTTAGACTTTCTGATTTTATTATACATAAAAGGAATTATAGTAAATGAACATACATATACTACTAAATTCAGTACATATATATATAAAATGTAGTTCTTTATTCAGAAAAACTCATTGTCATGATTTGCACCTTATATGCTCACCTATGTCTCCAATTCTTAATTAGATACAATTTTTTTTTATAAACTAATTACTAGCTTTCACTACTGTTTATTTATGGTACTCCTGTTAAGGAATGGTGAGGTTACTGAAAATATAATTTAGAAAAATATCACCCATGTATCATTATTTGAGAAATAAAATTTTTCTTTCAATTTTCAATAGATCACAACATTACAAAACATGCACTGTTCTTCTTCTTCTTATAAAACTCATATTTGAAGGGAACATTAATGAGTTTGTGGAGAACTAACAAACTATGCAAAAACTAGTGCTAAAGAAGTAGCTTTTGAGCACAAATTACTGAAACAGGCTACAACTGAAATGTGAGTCCACATTTTTTTTTTCATTTTTTTTTTTATTCATCATGTTTTTATTCAATGTATTAGGTTAGATAACAAAAAATGAAGAAAAAATTCTTGAGATCAGCTCAAGCTACCTGCATTAGCATTTGTAATTTGACTGCTTGTTTACATTAAGTTTTCCTGTTGTAGTTAATTGCCTGTTACACATCTAGATAGGGTCTAAAGGACATTGTGAAAATGTCAAAAAGCTGAGGCTATTATGATAAATAATTGCAATTATCTGCTACAATCTACAGTCATTCTAGAAAGAAAAAGGTATTATTGATTTTATTTGGTATTTTTATATTATTTAATTCCACTGTACTTTGATGATTTTGTTACAGTTAATGTTAATAAAAGAAGATATAAAATATAAATTTTACCAAAAAAAAAAAGCTTTTCATATTCATCTAGGAGGTTCTAGATGCAAATAAAATATAAAGACTGTAAGATGAAAAGAAGTATTTTTTATTTTTATCATAAAAATTAACTTGTGTACTTTTATTTACTATAACAAACTTATCCTTTAAAGCTGTTCTTGAACCAACTCCTAAAAGAAGCAAAAATTAAAACCCTCCCTATATTTTTGAGAAAATAATTTATTCCCCTATTAATCTCTAGTAAAATGCCAGCTTCCACTACTGTGAAAGGAAACTTATTAAGTAAGCCAATCACCCTGTTTCAAAAATATAATTGTCTTAACTGGAGCCTAAACTGTCTGTTACAAACCTTAAGCTTCTGTCCTCTCATCCTATCGTCTTCAAAATATAGCACAAAGAAAACAAATGCCTTCATCCAATTGTCTTCAAAATATAGCACAAAGAAAACAAATGCCTTCATCCAATTGTCTTCAAAATATAGCACAAAGAAAACAAATGCCTTCATCCAATTGTCTTCAGAACATAGCACAATGAAAACAAATGCCTTCATCCTATTGACCTCCTACATAATCTAGTAAACTTCAATAAGATGACCACTTAAGAAAGAGAAAAATATATATTAATCTATCCCTAAATGATACTCTTTCCTTCCCCCATAATTATTATAATAGCACTCCTCTAAACCATTTTCAGTAGGTCAAGTCATTTCTTAAATAATGAGACCAAAACTGTACACAGCATTCTAAGTGTGAGGCCTCACTAATGTTTTGAGAGGTACATAATATTAAAAGACTGTTACATAACAATAACTTCATGTTGACAGGTACAACACATATTCACACTGTTACATAAAAGAAGTTTATAATTTTCCTATACTTAAAATGTATTTCTGATAACTACTTACCTCCTCTCACATAAATAGCTATTCTTGGTCGGTGCTGCCCTCTATATGCAAAATTTTTTTGCACATGCCACAAGTCTTGAAACTCCCACACATCTAGAATTGACTGATTCCAATGCATCTTGCATGCAAATCATCATGCGACAAGCCTCCACCAATTACTCTCACACTTCCCACCCTTCTTCCCCACTGAAAACCGGTGCTAACATTTTCTGCCAAAACTTGATATGTCGGTAGATTTGAATAGAGGAAGTCACCTGTGTCAAGAGAGTATGACGTACTCTTAAGAGGTAATGTACCTTCATAAGTTATAATTTTTTCTATACTGAAAATGTATTTCTGATAGGTACTTACCCTCACATAAATAGCTAGAATCCCACATTGAACAGGTGGAGGGATTGGTGCGAGGGAAAGAAAGAAGCATCTTTGAAAGTGTCTGAAGGACACTCCCAAAGAGATCTTTGGAGTAGAAGATCCTACATGGGAGACCACACCACTTCTGTACCAGGTATACTCTTTGCCCAGTGTGGAAAAAAAGTGTCACAGATATGGGCAGAAATAGGAAGTAGCACATCCAATAGGGAGAGAACTATGGTTGGACAGAGATCTGAGCCATACGATACATGAATTTCGGTCCCATAATACATAAATGTGGGTGAGAATGAAAGGATGTGCCTACAGGTGTAGAGTGGCTAGGGCACGATGGACCATACACAGCAAGTCAACTACATCCAAAACTGACATCCATGCAGGGGTAGGATGAGGATCATACTGTCAGTAAGTCAACTACAATCCAAAATGCAGCCACCAGGAACTGAGATACATGTGGGAGTAGGAAAGATGATCATACTGCCAGCAAGTAACTACAATCCAAAACTCAGGCCCCCTGGGAACTAAGATCCATGTGGGGGGAGGAAAGAGGATTATACTGCCAGCAAGTGACTACAATCCAAAACTCAGACCCCCTGGGAACTGAAATCCATGTGGGGGAAGAAAAACTCCTTTGATTGGGATCCCTCATCCTACCCCCTTGTGGTTGTTGGTTCCCAGTGGCTGAGTTTTGGATTTAGAGCTGAACCAATCAACGCAAGTCTTCACACATGTATTATAGATGTCTCTATTCCCTCACTCAGTTATACTCTTGTTACTCATCGTGGTGGAGGTACTTGCAGAATAATATGGTTCTTTCTCTTCCACTATCCCTTGATTTTTTTATTATTCTGAGGATGTTATGGCACTTGGGGTAGTTCCTGTCATTTTGATTTTGAGTGAGATGGTTTACATTACATGGGTTTCCAGATTGATCGATCAATTTCTCATACTGCTATCATGTGTCCCATTCATTAGGTTGGGGGATATGAGATTCCCTCTGGTTTCATGAACTTGAGGTGAAGACAATATGATCCTAAACTGCAATTTTAACAGCTCACCCTCAAGATATATAAAATGGAGGACAACTAGTCATCTACACCAGCAGAACACCATCACCCTACTCTCAACTAAATGGTTTAGTTTATGTAATATTTTCATTATCTCATTCAGGAGGATACCTCCATGGTCCACCACCCCAGCAGCTTGGAACTGGAATGTGGTAAGAACTCCCAAACTCCACTAGAAGAAAAGTGGTGAGAAAGTGTGGTGGAAAGTCTGGAGGAACAACAACAACACCTGAGAAAGTGCAATGGGTGACCACAAAACCCTATTTTGAAAAGCAGACCACACCGATTTATTCAATA